AAGAGACCCCGTCTATGTGGCACTATGTAGTATTAAATGATAAGCATAATTAAATGAGTTATTTAATTCCACATTTCATTTAACATATCACCTAACACCACATAGACTGTGATTATAACTTTAGTGAGGCTAAATAACTTTACTCGTAATGGAATATGAGACTCTTTTAAAGATTAATTTTCAAACAAAAACTAGAACTTGTTTGAGTCTCATTTTGGCAAAAAATGCATTTTTAAATAGAGTATTGATGAGAAATGAGTAGTTAAAAATAAGAATTTCTTTGGATTTTCGTTTAATATTATTTTATTGGAGACTATGTGATTGAAATGATGTCAATATACTATTTAAAAATATATTTTTATTAAAAAAATGGGGTTCAAAAAAGTCCTAATATAGTTTATTTCAAAAGTTATTTTACACGAAGCAAGAGCAAGGACAAAAACGAAAGTAATCATGTCAAACGGGCCAAAGTGACCTTTGAGATTTGGATTTGGAAGAGGCAAGTACCAATGTGCATGGCTTAGATAATAATCACATGGGGTGGGATCCATAGAGTAAATTGCGGGAAAATCGTGGGTATTGGGTCCACCCCCCACTTCCACTCCTATTATTGACCCAATTCTCCCATATTCATATGTCGCCATGGTCCCACATATAAAAATCAATTTGAATAATAGTTTTCTTCATTGACTACTGATTTTGAAATTACTAAGAGTTAAAATTTAAACATTTAATTAAACTAAGGTAGATTTAATAAGCTTGGGAGGGAAAAGCATGCACCAAAAATTAGAGCATGTTTGGCTAAGATTAAAATTCAATTAAAATTAAAAATATAACAGTTATTGAGTCCCGCTCATCTAATAAAAGTCAATAATAACAGCTAATTTTTCAATTTTAATCCGATTTTAATCTATACCGAATACGCCTTAGCCTTGTTATTACAACATTTAGAACATTAATAAATTCAAACGCGTAAAATCATTAATTTGCAAAGAATTGAACATAATTGAAATCGATCTCCTAAGCACCGATATTTAGCAACATGACACGTTACAATAGATGATATGATCAGTTATGTAACCAACCATTATTTCTCACCACATATTATAGTGTGTCATGTCATCCAAATAATTAACATAAGTTAAACATTGATACTTAGAAGATCAGTCCCGTGAACGTAGTAACGAGTAAATAATTAACCTCTCTCTCTTCTTTTATTATATCCAACCATGCATAATTAGTTGGTGAAGTATTAAAAAATCCACTAATTGCCATAATATTATCCTGTTAACAGGTGCTTTGGGAGTGTTTTTAGGGGTCAAAAGTACTAAATTAAATTTTTTTATAATTTAAAAGTTGAGACGATTAATTAATGTAATAATTTTCCCTAAGCTTCATGTGAATAATTAAATTTATTGTCTCAAACATGTTTATTCATTATTGAGCTTCTATAGTTAGAATGCAATTTTTTGTGCCATTTTCTGAAAAATATCAATGCCTCAACTTCTCCATCTATCAATTAGTTAAATGCTTGTTCGGCACATATTTTTTTCATACAAAAAAAATATTTTTTGGAGAACGCGCAAATGAGAAGTGGGGAAAATTATGAATCCTATAAAATGTGTGATTGAAATTATTTTTTGGAGAAAATAAATTAAAAAAAAAATTGTATTAAACAAATGCTAAGTACATTTTTCTTTTTCTTCTTCACTCGATAGTTAATCAATTATTTTTTGCCAAAACTTTTTAACTTTCTTCTCCATGTATTTCTACATTTAAGCCACTATGTATGTATGTGTCTTTCTGCAGTGCCACGATAAAGTCCCTGTTTGAGGCATATTAAAATTTTCATTCTCATTAATTATTCTACTCATTTTTAATCACACATTCTTCAATAAAATAATATTTTACATCACATCAATAACTTTTCCTTCTTTTTCAACCACACACTCTCTATCAATCTATTATTTCAAAATACATTCTGCCAAAATAATATGACTCAAACAAACCCAAAATATAAGTTAATTGAACTTACAATCATGCTAAATGAACATCAAAGTTGACGTAATGTGACGTGACATTTTATGATTGTATAGTTTAAAACACAATTAACTTTTCCTTTCGATCATCTACTGACATATGTAATTATGTCAAATTTTTTATCAAACCCTTATGACAAAGTAGCTTTATCATTGAATTTATAGTCCTATTTGATGTCTATTAAAACATATATATATATTTTTCTTGGAAAATTGAGTTCTGGGAACAGTGATTTTTTGAAAAACGTGTGATTAAAAATAAGTTTTAGATTTTTTTTCTTTAATAGAATGGTAGACATAATATCACCGAAATGAATAGTAAAGAAGTAGAATTGATCATCTATTTCCAGTGAGTAGGATAAAAACTTCTCACTGTTGAAACGGCAGAGAGAACCTTAAATATGGTTCCTTGAATGCATGACTATTGTAGAAAACCATAAATAAGGTTCTCATATTATGGCCCTGTTCGGGAAGGATTAAAAGCCAATTAAAATTGAAAATATGGCCGTTATTGGGTCCCACTCGTCTAATAAAAGTCAACAATAACGGCTATATTTTCAATTTTAATCCAATTTTAATCCCTCCCATACAAGGCCTTAATTTTCATGTTTCATGGAAAAGAAAGTCAAATTAAACAGTGCCTTAGTTTCACAAAAGTTCAAAGAACACGCAAGCCAGAATGGTTAGAGTTGGTACATATATCAGCAGATTTTTTTATCCAATATAATGTGGATAGAAGATCAGATCTGAATGAATAAGTAAATATTTATTATGAGTCCTATTAAATATATAACTAAAATCAATATTTAATTTAAAAGAAAATTATAAGTTAAGTTTAGGTTTTCAAGGTTGTAAGATTATGTTTGGAAAGTCAAGAAAAGGGACAAAAGCATGTTCAAAATTCAAATTAACGTGGAAAGAAGACACCAATCCCCCCCCCCCCCCCCCCCCCCCCCCCCCACAATGNNNCCCCCCCCCCCCTCCCTCTCTCTCTCTCTCTCTCTCAAAATTACAACTGAGAGTTAAATTCACAAAGGGTCATTAAAAGTAAAGTGAGATTTCAAATTAGTCAATGACAAATTTTTGTGACCTATTTAGTCACTACAATTAGGGTAATTGGTACAAAATATCCCTAACATTTGGTTCTATTGTGGAATACCCATATCCTTTCATTTTGGTGAAAAACCTCTATAGGACTTTTTTCTTTGCGAAATACAACATTTTCTTTCATTTTTTCCCATAAAGTCTTGTGAAATAATAAATATGCACTCCTCTTAAAGCAAAACAAACCAAAAAAGAAGAACAAATAAAGAATTAATTGCAACTGCATTTCAAAATTTTCAAAAAAACATGAAAATGAATTCCGAATAAGTACTTAAAAATTTAAATGGACGTATATGTTACTTTTTTTATTTTATTTTAAAAAAAGTAAACATATAAATTTTTTATTTATAATGTTATCAACGTATAAGTTAATTTTTATCTTCTACTTCATTTTCAATTAATTTATTATTATTAGTATATATTATATATATTTAAATCAAATGAACGATGACAGTGTTATCAATTATGTTATCAAAGATTATCAATAGTTCTTCGATAAAAAAAAAGAAGTGAAGCTTGGGTCGATAAAATTATAAATAAAAGAGAGAAACTAACTTGTAAGTCGATAATATTATAAATCAAAAAATAAAATATAGCAAAAAATTTATTTACTTAATTTAATTTAAATAAAATATAAAAACCAAGTTATATGTCCGTTTAATTTTTTAATTATTTATTTTGGGTTTGGTTTGTATTAAAAAAAAATTGAGACCATAGTTGCAATTTATTCTTTTCCTTTTGTTTTATTTAAAAAGAAGTGTGTATTGGTCATTTCACAATACTTTATTGTAAAAATGAAAGAAAATGCTGTATTTTATAAAGAAAATATCATATAAGGGGTTTTTTTTTTTGTAAAACGAAGGATAGCAAGTATTCCACGATAGAGACATAGATTATGGTATTTTATGCCAGTTACCCCTACAATTAAATAATATTGCACAATTGGTCACTCGTTTAGTAGCATCACTCCGTATCCTATGTAGGCCCCTTAAATCTTGTCATCCACTGCTGATCAACGTGTTCATGTCGTGAAATTATTAAGGAAAATCAACACAATTCTTAAGGAAAATCTCACTTTAGCAAAAAATCACAAATTGCTCCCTTTAATTCTAACCTTATTTTCAATATTAAAAGTAGTAAAAAGGTCATAACAAAGCCAAAATAGGAGGTCATCTAGAAGAAATCAATTACTTCAACGGTCTTCATCTAGCGTGAAGGTTTAAAGTTTATTATGCCGAATGTGGTGTCAATGCTACGAAGTGACCACTTATGTAAAATTATTTTGACTTTAGAGACTACATATGGGCGCAAAAATACTTAAATGACCAATTTGGAGATTAGCTTGGACTTGAGTCATCATTAGTGAAATTCACGATTAAAAATGAATATTATGGATTAAGGGGAAAGGTTACCTCTATTTTTTAAGGATTTTGCTATTTGTACATCAATGTTGATATTTGAGCGCACATCCCCCACAAAAAAGGGGATGTATATCCAATAAAAAAAATTCGTGAACTCCTGTGTCAAGTGTTATGTTCATTTAACTTAGGTCCCGTTCGGTAGGGATTAAAAGACCATATTTTCAATTTTAATTAAATTTTAATCCCTATCGAACGGCCCTTAATTTATTTTGAGGGACCGTGCATTATGGCGTACGTGTAGCAAAACCTTACTAAAGCAAAAACAACTGTTTGAGACAAGCAGACAAATTATCACCCTACTTGTTCCCATACTCTTTCTTCACATCTTCATACAGATTCAATCTTTATGCTGTATAAATGCAAAGCACAGAAGCCTAAGTCCCTCCGTGTTAAACTCTTTTTGACTCTCTCTCTGGCTCGTGCAGGCAAATTTACAATGAAGTTTTTTCTCTTAATTGCTCTCTGCTCTTTCTCTACGGTCTCTGCTCTTGCATCTGCTCCTCTGGAAGGTAAATCTTGAAACCCTTTTCTGTTTATTTTGGAATACTTGCCATGAACATTTACTTCTATTTCTTTCGGATTTCTTAGAAAGTTATTTTTGTCAAAATCTGTATCCTTTTGTTTTGCCACTTTTCTGTTCTCTGCGCTTTTTCATCACTTCAGTAATTTGGTTCCTACTGTGTGTGTATGTGAGAGAGAACGAGTTTAGATCTGATATTTTGCAAAGTTAAAATCTTTTTGTTAGCACAATGAAATCCAAGGAAGTGAAAGAAACTGACTTTTTTTCTTCTTCTTGCATTTATGAATTTTTCTCAGGACTCCTCTCAAATGGCAACTTTGAAGAGGAACCAAAGCCCACTGACATCAAGAAAACAGTGCTCCAAGGCAAAAATGCACTGCCCAAATGGGAAATCAATGGCTTAGTTGAGTACATTTCCGGCGGGCCACAACCTGGCGGAATGTACTTCGCCGTCCCTCACGGTATCCACGCCGTGAGGCTCGGGAACGAGGCCTCGATTTCCCAAACAATCCCGGTCAAGAATGGGACATTATATGCACTCACATTTAGTGCATCAAGAACTTGTGCGCAAGATGAGGTGTTGAGGGTTTCTGTTCCTCCTCAATCAGGAGACCTTCCTCTACAGACTCTGTACAGCAGCAATGGTGGAGATACTTATGCCTGGGGATTCATAGCCAAATCTGTTTCTGTGAAGGTTATTTTTCACAATCCTGGAAAGCAAGAAGATCCTGCTTGTGGGCCTCTCTTGGATGCTGTTGCTATCAAAGAACTTTCCCCTCCGAAGCCCACTAAAGGTAATAGACTCTCTATGCTCTCGTTACTCTGGTCAATGATTTGTTAAGCCATTTCCTGCATAAATGCTGTATCTACACACCTGAATCATGTTAACTGATGTTATTTTTGAGGCAATATGAAGTTGTTTTCAGATATTTCCATGTGAACTAGATTGGAACCACAGATTCTGATATTTCACTGTCCACCCCGAAAAAACAAACTGAAAGTTTGGTTTCTTGTTTTCCCGGATCTATGCTGTAAAATCTTTTCTTGTCTAATGAGCATATTTGGTTCAAAGAACATGACTAAACAGTACAATAGACGAGATTTGAGCTTCTTTTTCTGTTTAGTAGTATGGTGTCTACCTTATGTAACAAGTTTGATGGTAATTTCCTGTGATCATCACAAAGTACTTTGCACTACACTTCACGAATCCAATGAGTACCTTACCTGGCAATTCATATGTCTAAAGCATTCTTCCCTTGTTGCAGGAAACTTGGTCAAGAATAATGGTTTTGAGGAGGGTCCTCATCGCTTGTTCAACTCTTCCCATGGTGTCCTGCTGCCTCCCAAACAGGAAGATCTTACATCCCCACTTCCTGGCTGGATTATCGAATCACTCAAGGCTGTAAAATTCATAGACTCGAAGCATTTTAACGTCCCTTTTGGACGTGCAGCAGTAGAACTTGTCGCAGGCAGAGAGAGCGCCATTGCCCAAATCATCAGGACAGTCCCCAACAAGGTCTATAATCTTTCATTCACTGTAGGAGATACAAAGAATGGTTGCCATGGATCGATGATGATTGAAGCATTTGCTGCTAAAGTTACCATGAAAGCACCCTTCAAGTCGGAAGGAAAGGGGAATTTTGAGACATTCAGTTTCCAGTTCAAAGCAGAATCATTCAGGACCAGATTAACTTTCTTCAGCTCTTTTTATCACACCAAGATCAATGACTTTGGAACTCTTTGTGGCCCTGTTCTTGATGAAGTTATTGTATCTGCAGCTGCTAAGATTTAATTTACATGCATCAAGGCGCATGAGGTGCTTGTGTTACTAGTAATAGTGTTCTTGAAGTAGACATTCATCATCTTCATTTGTAGTTTAGCCGTTGATAGAGCACAAGCTGCAGCTCTGTAATGTTATAAAACTATGAAAGTGTTGAATGATTTAGTACTTTTTTATGATCCTGTTGATTATTGTTTTCGCTTGAAATTCTACATCGTGTCACAGAAAATAAGTTATATTTTCCGTGTGGTCGAGTTGGTTAAGTCATTGAAGTTACCTGTTGGTCACAAGATCATATTCAGCAATTCATATAGAGGCTGAAAATCATTTTGATCAATACTTCCATAATCAGGATAAAATATTCAACAACAATAACAATGATACAGTGTTCATAAATTATCTGATCCCAGAGTGAAACAATAAATGTTTATTGATTGTCTTCCTCTTGAATCTTCTAAAAAAATGTCCCGGGAGATAAATTAGGCTTCTTTTTTCTCCAGTCAAAATACATGGTTCTACTCTTCAACGGCCCTCGTCTAAAATACCCACCAAACATTTCTCCAACATAAATTCTGCATTTACCCAAGCATGGTACTTATCTGAATAAAGCTTAAGGAATTCAACTGCTAGAGCTGAAAATATTTAGATAATTTAAGCTTTACGAATCACAAAAGTTTAAAAATTCTAATACAAGGATACTGAATAATGCCGTGCAGTCTTTTCCAACTGCCTTCATCAGCATATCGACACCTGACAGAGAGATTGCAAGAAAACCTATAGTCATAAAAATATATATAATGGTAGAAGCGCACACATCAAACGATTTTTGATGCTGAAAGCGTTCGAGTAATGTGGTTATTTTCAAATGCTATAATTACAAGACTTGGAAAATGCAAGTGAAGAACAAGCAAAATGATATTAGATAAGGCTTTCAAATGGAACAGAATTAATAACTAGGTCACTATACTCATCTTAACTCTTAAAACCAAAGATTAAAAGTATAAAGGGTTGACAATTAGCATCAAAACAATGCACTCGAAATTCATGTTTAAAATGTAAGGTGGCCTTTGAAATTTCACAGCATATCCTACTAATTGTCTAAGTACCATTTAAGTGGAGCTATTGTACCAGCAGCACTTCATCGAGTGAAAATCTGTTTGGCAAAGGTAAGGAAATAGGTGCTTGGTTATTCATACAGGATAAATTGCAAGTGAAAGAAGAAAGTAAAGTGTTTGGAAGAATCTAATAATTTTTATGTAGAGCTAGGGCTAAACAATTTGCCGCATGCTATGGATACAGCAATTATCCCAAAAAAAAATAAAAAAATTTCTTCAGGTTTACATAATAAGGTGAAACTTGTGCATTCATCATATAGATGAAGATGTCATAAAAACATACAAGAACAAAGCATATACAAGTGATTCTATGACTAAAAGGTTCACATTGAAGCCAAATTGTGTCTTTCTACATTTTGATTCCATTTTATCTTAATTTTTCCCACTGAGATAGCACTGATGACAACTCTTGCACCATTGATTTTTAGCATGTCTTCCAGAGACAGCAGGGGCAAATTAATTAAAAGAACAAAAACTCCAATGAAATGATGACAATATAATTTTTAGGAGTATAAATTGAAAATAAAATTAAAATGCAATAGGCACGTACATTGGAGTGTGAATGGTCCCTGTGTTTATGAATAGAAGTAAAAGAATTTTAGAGAAACCACTGGTAATGTCTCTAAGACGAGAAGTTCTATAAATTTTGTTGGGGCACACCTTAATGAAAAATGGGAAAAGGCTAGCCACGGTGAACTCCAAAAACGATGTTGCACATTGCCGCCCGGAGGTGTCTAAAACTAATCATGGCTTCTCATTCTCTAAGGTGGGGAAATAAATTATTTCAGGATTATAGAATCAGGAACTTGAAATATAGGGACACAAGAAACTTCCATAACTACTGGATATCATGCATAAGAGGGGAAGACAACATAGTTTGCATACAAGAGATTTGAAACACAGGATGCAAACTTTGACACAGGTAAAGGAAAAGAGAAGAAATCGGGTAGGAATAACAATTGAGTAGGGTTTAAAAGATAGGGTGCCTAAAGTTAAAGGGGTCATATGGCACAGTCATATTAGTTAGACTTCTTTTAGCAGAAAAATAAATATTTTTTGCTGCACACAAATAGGTTTAGATAAGGCAAAGGCACCAAATTAAAGGTTTGGGAGAGACTGACATTTTGTTTAAATGATCTCTAGCTGAGACGATCTTTCTTGGAGGATATCTGAATGATCATCTCAAAACGGTAGAGCTTAAAATACAAAAGAGTATGTATGTACGATCTTGGACCTCTTGGTAGTGGGGATCACAATGAAGGTAATACTATTTTGGACTTTGAGACATCTTATGATTTGTTGTCGTTTGACTACATGCTTCAGAAAGAGAGACTCACCTAATAACTTCTAGAAATAGATAAAATTTAAAGTGAAATAGATTTTGTACTTATTAGAAAGGGAGATGTATCATTATGAAAAAATTAAAAGACCTTGGAGAGACCAGCTGCTCAATATAATTTGGAAGTGCATTTCGTAACCTAAAGGTTTTTAGTCAAGTAAATCATACGAAATGCATGGAATGTCCTTTTAGTCCTATGATAAACGAGGATGTTAGTGAAGTCACTAAACTGAAACATATCCTCCAAAAGAGTATCAGTTCTAGATATTTAGAATCGATCACTAATAAGAATGACTTGAAGAGAATTCAATATATAGAATCTAATATATCTGTTTTAATATGTACATATTTTCCAAAAATGTATCTGCTTTAGATGCAGAAACAATTCAAAATAAATACAAATATTTCCACAACAGTAAAAGTTCTGTCGAGCAACCTCAACTCGTCAGAGTTCAAGGTTGAAAGGTTTCACGATCTCTCACTGCTTCCCATATGTGGTAGAGTTTGCAATAAAAAAAAAGAAAAAAAAGAAAAGAGAGAATCGAAGAAAAAATCGACCATATAAAACAAATTCAGCATACCTCCTGGATGAAATTTCATGTACGGGGCTATATTATAGACACGACCTTTAAGAACAGTCCACATGGAACCTTCAGATTGATTCTGTTTCACTTCATTCAAAGATACAAGTCTCTTATTTGATTGTCCCTTTAATCCTGAAACAAGTAATATGGGACTGAAACAAGTTAGATATGCAATGTGGAGAATATAATAGCCTTTTTTGTTGACAGTAAATAATTTGTGCACGCATTTGAAGCAACTATAATCCAACATGGTGAGTTGATCTGGTGTCACATTTAAGCCAGAACTGATCCCATAAACACAAATTAGTTGCAAAGGAGACATAATACTACAATAATAATAAATAAAAACATACTTTCAGTAAGATCCCAATTTTTCTTGTGCACTCATATAAAGGATCAAAGATTTTAAACGGGAATCAATATAATGCTCCTGATCAATCGCAATGCCTCTGCATATGCCAAAGGTTCCGATAGTGCAAAACATATAAAAAGAAATGCCCTCTAAAAACCATGCCTGAGGTGAAGAGATAAAGAACTAGTCTTAGGAATATGAAGAGTAGCATCACAGAGAAGTAAACAATTTTCAGCCCCGACTCCGACCCTTTTCTTCCTTGCTTCCAGACCTGATTTTCTTGTTTCAAGACGTGCACCCATATCTTTGGGTGTGCAAACTGTTATGGGGGAGCTTTGCAGCCTTTTTCCTCCAGGGTTTGGGATTTGGTGGGCAATTGGGTATTGTACAACCTATGTGAGAAAATTCTGTCACAGATGCTTTATTACAAGAAAACATTAAGTGTGGATGGAAAGAAAAATATGAAAAAAATCTTGAAATGCCAAAAGAATGGCTAAAACTGAGGGTAATTCAGGCAGCCAAAAAAGTACTTTATAGTTTGAACTTTGCCCTGTCAGAAGAGAATTCTTCTTACAACACGACAATTTAAGAACCAAAATTGGAAATCAATCTTCACATATGAGCACTTAGTTTCCTCACTGTTGGATGGACAGTATGTAAATTATGTCAATATTTTAAAACTAAATATATTTCCTCTAAATGGCAAATACCTGCTAGGTCTGGATGTGTTCTCGTAAGCTTAAGCCAGTCCATCTGGCTGTACCCCTTCTCGAAAGGAACCTTGGCTCGCTGCACGGGCTTCTTTGAAGGAGTCTTCTGAGCCTGTGAAGCCTTCATTGAACCTCCAGGGACTTCCATCATTGCTGGTTTGGGTCGTTCATTGACTTCAATTTTAGGTGATGCATCAATAACATTAAAAGACAATGAACCAACAGTCCCCTCCTGAGAAACATTATTATCTTTCCATATACTACCACTTTTCTGATTACTACTTCCATCTGCAGCTTTCACATTGTCATCATGTATCCGAATCTCACTAACATCCCGAGCAACATCATGGGTTTCAATACCATCTTCAATGGCGGGAACCCCAACCTAATTACATTGACTAGACTTCATCAGCCCACGAAACACTTGTTTTGTTAGAAGTATCAAACCATAATACAACCTAGTATTGTACTAGAAACTAGACTGTCCAGAGAAATCCACGAATATGTACGTGCAGATGCTTTGAAAGTTGAAAAATGAAACCCGTTCATGAATTAAGAACTTACCCGACAAAAGGTGAAATCATCATCATCAGCCATACTGATCTGAATGAAAAGAGAAATCTACTAAATACCCCTGTTCAAACATTTGATCATTAATAAGGAAAGGTAAGATAATAGATTATTAAAGTATTAGAATAAACTAATTCTATTCAAAATATCTAATTCTAGAATGCCATTGCAGGCTGAAATATCATGTTCATTATTGATGAGCTTCAACATTAAACACAACCAAAGCAAGCTTTATTAACAAAAAATTACGACCAAATTTTCTTAATAACTTAGTTTGAATAATAACTATTTCCAAGATCCTTTTAGCTTGTTTTACCCAAAACACAATCTTTTAGTTTTTACCAATTGCCTACATCTGTATGTTATCTGGGATCATAAGCAAAAAAAATCTGAAGAATTCGATCTTTGATATTCATTAAATAAAACACAATAATTTTATACTCGTTATAATTGAATCAAGAACGTATGATCTTTGCTTCATTTGGCTTAAAACGGTGAAAATGAGAAAAGTACAATAAATTATATAAACAGAAAATCACATATAACAGCTTTACTTAAACACAGAGAGAGAGAGAGAGAGAGAGAGAGAGAGGCGTACTTCGTTGAAATTGATCTTTGGTAGTTGGATTTTCCGGTCTCGCAGATGAAAAGGGAGCTCTTTATTCCTCAATTATTTAAAATAAAAGAATATTTTCTGGGGTATTGTGGCTTCGTCATGCGAGGTGGGCTATTATATATACTGGGTCAGATTTTGGGTTTGAAGCTAACCGTTTGACAACAATTATTTCAAAGAACTTAGAGGGTGTTTGGTGTAGATTAAAATTAAATTTTAAGTGGATTATGATAAAATTTTTTGAAATGTATGATTGAAAAGATGTAGGATCCACGAAAAATGTGGTTGATATTAATTGTTTTAATTTTGACTTATATTAAAATCAGATTAAAATCTGACCCAAACTTTGTTGTTAGATGAATTTGATATCTTTGTTGACTGAAAAAGATGTGTAAAAAAATAATTGGATGACATTGTTGACGATTTCAAACAATCCAATGAAATTCTACCACTTGACGGTTCTGTCATCCAAAATGTCATCAAAGATGTTAGTATAACATGATTGTATTTCAACTCTTTAATTCTCGTACTCATTTTCAATCACACAATAAAACAATTTGAACATAAATTCAATTTTTTTTCTACTTTTANATTTGAACATAAATTCAATTTTTTTCCTACTTTTAATCATACATTTTTAAAAAAATTACTATTCAAAACTCTATTTTCTTAAAATAATGACCGTCAAACATGCTAAATTAGATGCGGCAATTGGCTGAGTCAAATAGCCTCAGGTTGCAGCCATTCAAAGTCAGTTCGGCCCACTAGGTGTGCCGGGCTCGACCAATTGCTCTTGTCCGCTCTTCGATTAAGATGTCAGGCTCTACAGGCCCTTCACATTTTTTCTCTTATAGAAAAAAAAAGAATGTATTATTGTTAAAAACAAGGGAAAATTAGGCCTAGTGCCGTGTAAAAATAACTAATTTGATTAATACCTTTCTAATCTCATTAAATCTTTCAAACAAGTAATTAATACGTCATAAACTACTAAGTAAAAACCTCAAACCTAAGCCCCATAGAAACCCTCTCCACTCGTCAACAGAGGCGATTGCTCTTCTAAAAACCTCATAGGACTTAAATCTTCATCTCTTTCGTCTCCTCCTCCTCAATCTCCTCTCTCTCATCTTCTCCTCTCCAACTATTAACCACAGATTCCGGATGTGTTTGGTAAAGTATCTTGAAACAGCAGAGAGTTTGAGTATGCAGCTTGCATAGGGATGCACACATCAGATAACAATTACTTCGTGTAAATCTGGGTTAGAAAAATCCAAGAATAGATTCCAGTTGTGAAAAAAGTTCGTTTCATTATGACAATAAAAACCACGGGTGGAATTGTGATAATCCTACCGAATTTTATGATACCAGATTACTTAATTCATCCATTTTTACATATTTTTGGAAAGGACATTTCAGGAAAATGGGATTTCTTCAAAATTTTAATAGAAAAATGGAGGTATGAACAAGTAAAGGAATTGTTGATTCTTTCCTAAGGTCATTTGGTTAGATTCATGTTTTGCTATGAGCAGAAAAGGGAAGATAAGTGACTGCCCAAAAAATCGGTGACCTTCCTCAATCTGTTTTTCTCTTTTCTTTGTAAGTTCCTATTTTTTTCCTGGTATATTACACTTGAAAATTGGATATATCAATTTTTTCTTCTTTTCCAAAACCCAAGCACAGGACCTCAGGTGTATCTGCCCCTATTAGTGAGTCGGTGACCTCTAGTTTTTCTAATATTGGGCCACGTAAAGCTTGAGGAGCTCTGCCACTGCCTTGCTCTGGCTGTCAATTTCAATTGGGAACTATACGAGTACTCTTCTGATCAAACGTATGAATAAGTTAGTGTAGGGCATAGACGTTCAAATTGGTTGACGAATGCAATTTGTCAACTTGATTTTCAATCTATTCAAGTCATCCAGTTTCATAAACCAGTAGGGGGTGAATTGCACTGTAAAAATTTTAGTATTCGTCACTTTTTTGAATTTGTGTCACTTTTTTCAGTGTTTATCACTTTTTTAACGTTTGTTACTTTTTTTGTCAATTCTTTGAAATTTCTATCACTTTTTTGAGTTACAAACATCATTTTTTTAAATAAAAGTGACATTATATGTTATTTTTTAATAAAAAATGACACTTAACTTTAAAAAGTGACAGTGGGTCGCTTTTTTTTTATTGTGTCACAGTGAAAATTAATTTTACACAGTATTTTTTACTTCCAAAATATGTTTCATATGATTTTTCAAAAGACCCTTAACTTTAAGGGTATTTTTGTAAGTTACTCTAAAAACAAAGTGCGTGTGCCTTTTTGTTAAAACAAAAGGAGCCAAACCTTGGGCCAACTCAAGAAGCCATGAGCCCAAGAGACGGACTTAGCTTGTCTAGCTGAAACTAAGGGCGTGTTTGGTAGAGATTAAAATTGAAAAATCAGTAGTTATTGTTAACTTTTATTAGACGAGTGTAACCCAATAACGACTATATTTTCAATTTTAATTGGATTTTAAGTTTAGCTAAACATGCTCTAAGTTGGCGAGCAGCTCGAGCCCCCTAATCTCAATTCTCATTGAAGGGAAGTGGAAACTATCCATTTTTTGTGTGAAATTGGCATTACCTTTTCATGCTATTTATAAGAGATTTTATATTAAGGGGTAAAACAATTTGAATAACTCAGTGCAAGACCCCGTTAATCGAGCCAGTTTCGGAACATGGCAAAGACAAGCAACTAAGATGCACTAGGCTAGACTATCTTCATTAATTTTTATTTATTTATTTTCTTATTGACTCTAAAAATTAGGTTTGGGCACGGTTCAGTTCAATCCGATCATAAAGAGAACCAAATCGAACCAATAATTATCGGGTATTTTGTAAATGGAACAGTGATTCAAAGTTTAATTACGAAACCGAATCGAAATCAATATTCTGTTCAGTTAGGTTCCGAACCATAATTAAATTGTTTAATGTTTAAAATCATACAACATTAATCTAACAAAAGATAGGTTCCATCTTAGTTCTTATAAAACGACAAAGATAGTGCAAATTTAAAAACTCAAATAAAAAGACTAGTAAAATCCATTTACCAATGCATACAAATGATCAAAAAGTAAATACTAACACATACAAATATGTGAATTTCATTTCCATCAAATTGATTCCTTCGCTTCAAACCTTCAAATCTGCATAAAAAATGACATATGAAATAAAGTAATATTTGAAAAAATGCATATACGATAATATTTGAAGTTAGCAATATTTGAAAAAATGCATAAAAAATATTTATTTTAATATTGCTAACTTCGTAATCAGCTATAGTCTACCTTACAAGAAATGAAATCGAAGCTATAATTGTAACGTGCTCTTCAACGTCTACGTTACCGAGTATGAGTAATTCATTGCATGCTTTGGGAAGCAACCCATTTGTGTGTGCTTCAAGCTCATCTAGGCTCCAACTAAAATATGAATTGAGAGCATCTCAGATTGATTAATTATCATCAAAATGAATAAAAAATTGTAATAAATCAATGATAACGTTGAATTTTAGGTGTTGTTGACGTGTTATTGTACTTTGTAAAGCAACGATCTGGTACTTTGTTAGAGACCGCCATCTAAATACCAGCATTTGCTTTTGCTTTTCCTCTCTGTCAATGTTTTGCAGATCCTGCATTTTCGGTGTGAGTAAGCTTCGGTTTCGAGCATGTTTTTTCTGCCTTAAAAGCCAATATAGAAGCCAGAAAGCATCTTTTTTCAGCAAGATAATGAGGAAGAGAGCTAAAAAGAAGCCCTTTTTTGAGTTTTTGTTGGCTTTTAAGCCATGCCGAACATACTTTAGCGGGAATTTAATGACTTCAAGTTTGCTCTACTTTCTTGATAAAAATGACTTGAAAAACAAAGTTTGAGAAATAATATTTTTTAACGTTTCTACAATTAAGCTAATCAAGCTATATTCCACACGTAAGGTACAGCTGTGCTGTCTCTAGAATGGGGACGAATCACAAGGATATTTGACTTTCAATCTAATATTTCAAGAAAATGCTTGATATATGTATATACCTTGTTTTTGTATTTTTTAGATTTCTGGGTTGTGAGAGAGTTGAGATGTCGAAAGCAGGGGCATTGGATTTGGCAACTGGGCTT